TGTGATCTGTGCATGCTTGCATGAGTTTTTAAAGCAGTCTCTTACAATCAGAGACCACTGAGGCTCACTGATTTCATCTGTGGCATGTTTGCTAACTTTCCAGCCTGCAGCTTCCTGAGACATTCCTCTGTTGGGGGAGCCAACTCCCCACCCTTTTCTGGCTGTTCAGCAGCAATTGCCTTCCCAACCTTCAAATGAACATTTCCATACATGCTCTCTCTGCCATGGTGTATTGTGTGGAACCTTCTGTCCTGCTGGCAGTGGTGAGGAGCAGTTTGCAGAGCCAGGGATGAAGCGCGTGGCAGGGGAGCGCTGCTGCTCGTCGCCGACGCTGGGCCCATTGGTCCACACCAAGCCCTGCCCAGTGCATCCAGGCACCAGGTCCCACTCAAGGCTGTTCTCCAGCACCTGTAATGCACTCCTCTTTCTTTTAGTCCAGCATGGTAAAAACAGACATCTAGATTCTGATGTCTGCAAAGATAGTTTTATACTTTTATAAAAAATAGGTTTCTGCAATCATCTTTTATTAAAAGCTTGCTTTAATTCTTTGCTCTAAACCAGATTGCCATTTATTAGCAATTTCTCAGCAGCAGATATTACAGAGAAATAACAGTACAATTCATTTTTTCTTACAATGCAATCTGAGATGCAGTACAACCAATTTTTTTAGGTCAAAGACTGTTTTTTATATCCATTGTCTTCCAGCTTTCCCAATAATGTCGAAGAAGGCTTTGCCCAGGTCAAAGACTTTCTGTACTCGTAGTGATACGACCTGCTAACTCTTTTTTGTATCATCATGTTCTGCAGTGTGTGTGTGTTCTGAATAACATATTCCGATTCCGAATTGAATGAAGGGCAGGGAAGAAATTACAGTGAGATTAATATAATAGCCTTCCACAAAGGTGAGGCTAAGATATGTTTGTTTCAGAGTTTCAAATTGGATTTTATATGATCTATAATTTCAGCTGATTATGTGCTCAATAATTATTCACATGTACTGGCATCAGGATCGAGCATTAATAGTAACAAAGGAGGATATCTGTGAGAGTGAAAAATCAATTAAAATACTACACAAGTGAAATTTTAATTGGGAAGAAAACTTTGCATTTTCATTGAAGTACTGTTACTTTCCTGGTTAAACATTTGACTTTGCAGAGTCCTCAGTATCTGTGTGCTCAGTCTACTTCCCATGCACCTAAAGTATGTTGAAGGATCAGCAGTTGTGTATACATTCTGTTTTCCTATTGCATTTTCCTTATCCTTTTTAAGTATGACTGCATTTTAGAGGAGGATGTGTGCAGTGTGTATTGGATCAGGCCCAGTGCCCTACACTGCCAATTTACTGGGCTGACTCAGCAATCAGGGCTCCAGCAGAAGTGTTTGGGAGATGCCACATGGGAGGCTGTGCCTATGAAAGACTGCTGCTGTGTTACAGCAGTTGCTAAAACACCTTCTCTTTTAATATTGAAGTTAAGAAACTGATCTGAGCCAGCTGTACCTGCTCCGATCCTGAATGTATGTAGCCTCAAATATTGCCACTGAGCATGGCCAGTGTGAGATGTGAAGGGAAGGAGTCTAGGCATGTATCCTCTGCCAAAGCCTTCCAGCAGGCTGTGGCTTGATGACATCCTGAAACAGACATTGTATCTCTGGTGCTTTCTATTTCTCCTTGGCTTTTATTTCCATGAATTTGTTATATCCCCTGTGGCAATAAGTTAGTTTAACTGCAGATCTGTTTGCATGACATGACAATAATGTTTGGAGATTTCATGGTGCCTGTCTTTGAGTTTACAATCCAGTGTCAGACAAAAATCAACAAACAGGTTGGATGAGAGGGAGAATAAAAGGTTTAATGGAAGGGTTTGCATCTCAGCTAAAGCTTCCATGTCAGTATCAATGTGATTGCATTTTCCAAATATTCTTCCTAAGGCCTCGTTCTCAAACTGCACAGAGTTTCTTTCAGTTTTTGTAGAAGTGTGTGATATAGATGAAGCTGGTTTCTCACTGCTTCTGCCCATCTATATGACACCATAACTCCTCCTCCATCACAAGAGGTGTCACAAGGCAGGACGAGAGGTAAAGGGTGTCACATTGCACTTGCAGCTGTGTAGTTGACAGCACTTTGATAACTGCACCAGATACTTTCCTCCAGTTCCTTTAATCTCCACTTTCTGCAGTTCACTCATTTACTTATCGAAGTAGACAAATATGCAATGAACTTTCAACACATTATCAGAAAATCGTTGCCATAGTACCTATCAAGTGGGATCAACCAATATGAGGTTCCCTTTATGCTAGATGCTGTTGAACTGTAGTGTTAGAACCTGATGATTCAAATCTCTCTTGAGACCTTCTATCTCCTGGTGTGCAACACTGGATTTTAAGTGTGTTACCCTCCCCTAAATGGATAACCCAGAATCCACAAAAGTAGATTTTTCACTGACGTTGATGTCCAGCAGTTTTGCTCCTGTTGGCATTACCTACACCCCTTCTTTACCTACAACAGCCTTCAAACCAGGCAGATAATCCATCTAGACTGGCTGAGCACTGCCCCTGCACCATGTATTTTCTCCACTGGCAAACAGTCTGGTGTGAAATAATTCCTTCAGTCAATTAAAATGTCATCTGTTCTAACAAAATACTAAACACAAGTATTACTTTTTAATTTCCTTTATGGGATGCAAGGTCTTATTTTTAGTGGGTGATGGTTTGAGGGCAAGTTTTGGTTTTTTGCTGTCTTGGAATTTATTTCTGCCAGTGAAGGCTATTTTGAGATCAATAAAACTGTCTTCCACTTGCAACTAACGTTAATATTCTTCTTAATTTGCTCTTTGTGTTGCAGCTGGATATTTAGCACAACATCAAACTGCTGAA